TGTCATATGCGTGTGTTGATTCAGAGAATGACACATCATGGAAGAGGTTTTTTTGAGCAATTCAAACCTGCGTATGGTGAAAGACAAATATATGTGTTGTTTCGGATCGGAATGAGAGTATCTTGAAGGCAACATCTATTGTTTATTCCGGCATGCCACATTATTCTTGCATGTGGCATATTTGGACAAATATACGGGCAAAGTTCAAGAAGGGACATCTTAAGTTAAGTGAATTATACTTTGCCACGGCACGGTCATACACACTTGATGAATTTAATGAAAGGATGTCAAAGATTGAGGAGATTGACCCCCGTGTTAAAGCATACTTATACGATATTGGCTATCATAGATGGTCCCGAGTACATGCTACGGTGAACAGAACTTGGACTATGACATCAAACATTGCAGAGTCGTTGAATGCTGTAACAAAATATGCAAGAGAGCTGCCGATAGTAGAACTATTAGAGTATATGAGGACCCTTCTTGAACGTTGGACGAAAGAAAAGTTATTGAAAGCAAAGGGTACATTCACATACCTTGGATACAAATTCAACAAAGAGTTGGATGACAACAGAACATTGTCGCACAAGCTTAGAGTAAGATCTGATTATTTATTGAATCAAATTCATAAACAGGACAAATGTAGATATTTTGTAGATATTTTGTATATTTTTGATTTTAACCGTATATGAATTATTTTTTTGTTTGTAATGTACTCGTAGGTGAGGGCTTCAACAGACTACATCCATACAGTAATAGATGGTGTGAGGCGCTATATTGTTTGTCTTGAAAACAAGAAATGTAGTTGTGGGCAATTCCAGCTTGATGAACTACCTTGTCCACATGCTTTGGCTGCTTTAAGACACAGGGATGAGTCTTTTGAACAATATTGTTCTCCTTATTACACAAGAGCGAACCTCTTGCGTGCTTATGAAATACCAGTTAATCCCCTGCCTGATGAAAGCAAATGGAATGTGCCACAACATATAACTGAAGAAGTAGTAAATCCACCTAAAGGAGGGAAAAGGCAGCCAGGAAGACCTCAAAAAGAAAGATACAAAACATATGATGAAATAAATTGAAAGACAAGGTTTCATGCGGCAACTGCGGAGGAGAAGGGCATAACAAAAGATCTTGCAAGAATGCACCCAAAAAGAAATAAAATTTTATGTAGTTAACAGAATATTTCATAAAATTTGTTGGTTAGTTCTGGATAACAGATTTTGATATGTAATTGTTGGTATTTTTTAAGATCATAATGTAGTTAGTTAGGATTTTTCTGTATTGAGACAATACTTTCATAGATTGATTTGTTTATGGAATCCTTTACATAGTTGTTAATGTATTTTTGCAGTTTATCTACAAAAAAATACATTATCTGGAATTTACAGAGTATATACATTATAAATCAGTAGGAAAGTAGTTAAAAACTTAAAATATTGTAGATGAAGTATTGTTTACATTCAAAAAATGAATATAAAAGAAACAAAACACACTGTTAAATATAATCTACAAATTATATACAAATATAACTACAAAAAATCTACAATATCTGTAGCTGACATAATAGCTAGATTAAAATTCAGGTAGAAACAACCTATATGGTGAAAATAATGTAGATGAGGTACTTTATACATTCAACAAATTGAATTTAAAAGCAACAAAATATTTAGTTACTGATTTTTACACATTATCTACAAAAAATCAACAAAATAACTACATATTTTTTCGTTGACAGAATAACTGAATAAAAATTCTGTTGGAAAGGATATATATGCTAAAAATAATGAAGATCAAGTACTGTAAAGATTCAACAAGTGAATATAAACCCAACAGAATGTTTCCATTTGAACAATAATATTAGATAAGAAAAAAGAAACAAAGGCTACTATAATTGTAGCGCAAGTCTGCTACAATTAAAACAGAATAAATTGTTCAAAAACTTGTCTACCATCTTTCTTATAAACTAGCATAAACTAAACAATTGTACTATATGTTCCATACAAAATATTACAACTACTTCTTCCTCTGGACTCGTGTTTTCTCATTCAAAGCTGGTGCACCTTTCCGCCTTGCCAATTTGCCTATCACCTCACTATCACTAATTTCCCCATGCTCCTGCTTCTTTCTAGAATAGTCCCAAAGTAGCTCTCCATAGCGTCTACGGTGTTGGTCAATATCAGAAAGGTCTTCTGGCGGAATTAATAATTCTCCAATATTAACATACTCTGCAAAGGCAGCAACAAATACACCACAATCGCTGCAAAAGATAAAAAAATGTCAATATTTACCAAACCATCAGAAATAAAAGGGTTAAATGTTTAGAAAGAAAGAAGACTTTTGTTACAGTGATCGTTCTTTTTGCTGTGGTATCTCTCCGGCGATCCACTGAATGTTAAGAGGGTCGGTAACAGGTTTCTCAATGTATGCTTTTGTATTCTTGAAGTTGATGTCTTTACGCTTCCCACAAAACCCGGTGTATGACAAATACAAAGGGATAATAATAGAAAACTTGTCGACACAAGATTCAACAATAGGGTGATTGTGTGAAGAGACCATGGAATCATATGCATAAAGACACCTTTCTGCAATGTCAAAAACAACCAACACCCAGTGGAATTTTTCTACAATGTTGACGGACATGATGACATAATCAACTTCATCCCATGCAATATTTGCGAGTAGTCTATACCCCAATATATATTCTGCTACAATGTCATGTGGTTTGACAACAGAAAACTTCTTTTCTTGAGGGGAATTTTGGAACTTTTCATAAATCTGATCAATCCTAGTCTTGAACACAAAATCTGTTGTAGTAAACCTGGTCTTGTTATGGGGGCCATACTTGCCTCTTTTTCTCAAGTAATACATTATAACATTAATGTGCTGCAACAAAAACAGATTGCATTTATTCTACAAATTATCTTCAAATATTCTACACAAAACTACAAAATAACTACAATTCATACACAAACAGAATACAAAGAATCTATCATTCAGAATACAAACTATCTACAAATTATCTACAAAAAATCTACAAAATCAAATACATTGAATCTTATCGAGTCATTGAGGACTTGTCCTGGGTGTGCCAAGGAAAATAACCACTCCTTCTTGTCAGCCTTTTCAACTCCAAGATCCAACCATGGCTTAATTTGGTTGTCCTTTATAGAATACGGAGCCTTCCTCCTATATAAACAAATAGAAATTAAAATAAAATTGTTGAATGAAGTGGATGTGTAAAGATGAATACTGGAATAAAAGTGTCAAATTGTGCAACCTAACCTCCTAACCTGTGTCGGTACCGTGGTATAACCACTTGTGGAATTGATCCAACAACTCAACGTCTATATTTTGACCAATAACACTAGTAAATGGGTGCTTGAGGTGAAAAATTTGAGGTCCAACCGAGGTGCTGCCACCAGAACTGTATAAAGAGAATAATGGTGATCGGGCATGCTTTCCCGGCTGCCTTGTTCTAGCTTGCTCCACGAGTGTTGTTTCATCTTGTATAGGCTCGCTGAACTTAACCAACTGGGAGAAGTTATCAGGCAGCTCGAAATCATCAAGCGTAACCTCCTTATTCTCACCTCCGGATTCTTCTGAATCACATACATTCACATACTCTGCCTCTTCACCTACATTGTCATCTTTCGGATTCTGCTGTTCGCTTTGAGCTGCTACTGTCACTCCGTGAATTGGAGATTGTGCATGCATATCTTCCCTCTCTGTAACACCATGTATATATAACTTAATAGAATTGTAAAAATTGAAACAAAAAGAAAATATCTCTGAAAACAATTTCATACCTGCATTCTCTTCATCAACTGCCCCTTCAAAATGTGCATATAATTCAACACGTGCTGGATGATTTTCTTCACCAAGTGCACATTCAACATGTTCTGTTTTTTTCATTAAAAATGTTAAATCATATTGGATAGTATTGGCTTGACAATTTATGAAGATATGAAGGTATGTCACAATATCTACATAAATCTGTATAGATGTGCCAATAAGCTAGATTTAATATATATTATGTATATATAGTATATATATAATATAGACAAATTGTAGATATTTGTATATAATTTGTAGTTATTTTGTAGATAAATGTAGATATACTGGAGATATATTGTAGATACCTGTTTTGCTGGGGTTGACCTGCACTGGTTCACCACTATTGAACTAAAATTGCTGATTGTTCTTGTCTTTTGGTTGGTTTTGTTGAACTCCCAGCAAACTGTAAGTTTTATATTAGTTAGGATATATATTTTAGAGGTGACATAAATAGTGACTTTAATATGATTAAAATTCAAATGTTACCTTTGCATCAACTTGATCATTTGGACGGTTTATCACCTGCAAAACAGTCTTGACTGAATCCTTTATTAGGTCTCGAAGGCTACCTAGTTCTTCAAATACATCTTTCCGAAACTTTTCAAGCTTTTCATCGACCCACATAATTAAAAAAAAATACATAGTTAACTTTAAAAATATGTCTTAAAATACATTAAAAACAGATACACTATTATATATACATCACAATGCTTTTTAGGACTACATGTTACCTTCTCAATACCTCTTTCTAACTTTCTTATTTTACGAAGAATATACTCCTTTTCCTCTTTTCCAATTGATTCTTTGGGTTCCAATGGAGGAGCATCAACTTTTGGATTCTCAGAAACATGTTCAACCTCTTCAATTGTGTACTCAACTTTATCAGGCAAAGACATCACTGAAAGCTCTTCAGGTGATTCATTTATGTTGGTGAACTGAATGATGAAAAAAATTAATTAGCTTGTGTAAGGCAGAGTATGTATATAAATTGTAGATATTTTGTAGTTAAATTGTATTATCATAAATAAAGACCATTTACCTTCACCATTCAGGCTTGATCACTTTGTCTTCAATTACAGCTAACAAAATCTGACCCTTAGTAGCTGACCAGTTTAGTATGCGAGGGATTGAATTAGAAATCTTTGTAGCTATATCAATGTTGACGGAGGAGCAACACTCATACAACCATACTTGCATGGCTAGGGGGAATCCTCGAATGAGATAAGAATGAACGAAAGGATTTAGCCTGTGCCTAACTAATTCAATCAACTGTCTGTAAGACTGAATACTCCATGGAAATGACTCGTACTTACCGGATTCCACCAAGTAAAACCTAAAATGATCTACCAACCCAATATGGTCTCTCTCTGAAGGACAAATGAAGAATTGTATGAGATATAGAATACATAACTTTACTGCATCCTTATCATTGACCCAACTTTTGTTGGTTACTATCTGTTTTAGGTATGTCTTCTCCACTTTTACCTTGTTTGGAAAGTAACTGCTCATTATCTTACTGACATATGTAACCAAAGTCTGTCACCTCAATATGACATCTAAGACCAGTTATTACTGCAAACTCTCTCAATCCAAAATTTAACCTCTCACCTTTTAACTCAGCTGAAAAATAGGAAGCATCAGATGATTTCAATTCATATTTCATAAGAAGATGAATAGCTTGATTCTGCATGCATAAATTGGGAAATGACAGTAAATAACCAAAGCATGTCTTCTTGAACAGCTTCAAACCATTTGGAGACAAAAGCGCTTATATTTGGCTAGGAATGCTAGGGTCACATAATATCTGGAATCTAAGAACCCATAATCAACATTATGGGATGTAAAAAATGTCCATTCTGCAAAATTCAACAATTGAATCTAACATTTATACAATAATTAAAAAGCACTGATACATTTATATTTTATTTACAAAACAACTTCAAATAATATACAATATAACAACAATGTTAAACAGATCAACAATCTACAATTAATCTTCAAAATTAAGACAAATAATCTCACATTAATTCATTGATTAAAAACATAGATACATTTGCTGTTTATATACAACATTTCTACAAAAATCTACAAAGCAAAAAAAAAAAACACAGATTATGTAGATTTTTAACAACTAAAACAGGCGAAATAAGTAATGAAGAAGTTACTAAATTCTTACCTTCACCAACGAGTGTTTTCAAACATTTTTAGGAGATTTAACCTTGGGGCTTTTTTTTGAATTTTTCTTCTTTTGGGGAGTTTTTGAACTGGGAGCCACCTTAACTTTCTTTCCAGGTTTACTGATAGGCACATCTTCTACAAAATCATCATCGAACACTATCTCTTTACGCTTCCTATCCGTTTGTTTGATTGGCCTCGAAGATTCTCCAGCATCGAAATCATATTTTTGTTTAGTTCTAGCTTCAGCCCTGATTTGATGCGGAGAACACTATGCTTCATATCTACAATTGCATGTGTAGATTTCCCTTGCTTTTTGGGTGAATGTGGTGATAATACACCCAAATCGAAAGAAGGTATATCAGCTTCTAGAGCTTTTTTAGGGCTGTGCTTTGAAGCTTTGTTCTTCTT